ATCATTTGCATGCGTATAACACCACAATTCCATTTTTATACTAGAAAAATGACAAAGGATTTTCATATGAATGCTACTTTATGAAAGTTACCTGGTACCCTTATCTAGAATATGAAGTTTAGTTTTGAGAACGCCTATTCACGCTAATCTGGCTCTGAAGTAAAGTACCATATTCGTGATCATGATCCTAGCTCCCCCCCCCACCCCTCATTTCCACAGCAGGTGTAAGTTTATAAGATTGGACGGGAAGTAGCACGTCGTAAATGAATGACATGTTCGTGGTGAGGCACCGAATAACCTCTATATGTGCAGTTTGAGCTGGGACTTTTTGACTTTAGGGTTATAATAACGTAGTTTTGTCAACCAGTGTACATAATTGTTGTGCGAAACTCATTGAGGGTTGCACTTCGTCGCTGGACAAAGAGGTCGACTTGGCCTTTTCTCTTTTCATTTCTTTTTTCTTCTTTTGTTTTTTTTTGCAATTTTTCCAATAGCATTCCTCCCGCTATATGCGCTCTATTTACCCCGCGCTATATAGCCCTTTCATTCAGCTTGCGACGCAGCAGAGCTACTACTTCTTCTAGTAGTTGAGTAGAGTTGTGTACGGTATCCTCCCGTAATATACGGCCAGAGAGGGTACCATGGTCAGTAACATAGGTCCATACCAAATCGCGGTGGAAGGGGGGTCGTGCTGACATCGCTCTTTCACATAATGTGCTCATGTTCCTGTCGCATGGATATATCCCTTTCCAGTGCAGTGAATCAAATGTTCGGTATGAGAACGTGCTGCTTTTTGATTAGAAGCTTCTGGGCCATCACTCGGTACAGCTCCTTCTTGCGTCTCAGCCCAAGCAGATAAATTACGTCCAGTTTTTGCGTTGTCCTATAAGAACATATCGATTCTTCAAACATCCCTAATTGCGATGACATACACTCACAATCCCTGGGGATGCGGTCGGCGTGGCTGCGTACTTGAATGGAACTGGCGGCAGCTAACCTTAATGGGATATTTTCATTTTGAGAAGGAATCACGGCTTTGTCCAACAGGTAACAAGATGACAGTTGTATCAAATTGAAGTATCTCACGGTGACCCCTCCTATGCCATTTAGAAGTGCCGCGCCTTCTCCGTCTCAGGGATAAGATGAAATTTAGATGCTTGGTCAGTACTACGGAAAGCAATCGCGTATATAAGCAAAAAATCTGAAGAGTCGTAGAATCTGCGGAGAAATAGTGTCGTATCGAGTGGGAGAATCGGACGAGTCGCGGAATAGGGAGCAACGCGGAGTTGTAGGAATCGGCGAGAAAGGCTAGATAGAAATTGTTGGTTTAGCTTTGCTCTTTGTGTGCTTCGAGAGAGTACGTATATTTTACTTTTTCTGCAGATCCCGCGATTCGTCAGCCGCTAGCCGTCACCAGTCTTAGGTCACTCTTGGAAACGTTCAGGAAACGCTCGCGCTTCTCTGGTGTGAAAGTTGAAGCAGCACTGCTAGCACCACAGCACCACAACACTTGTGGGCCCGCTTGTCGCCTTTTTCTTCTTGTTCGAATCTTATAACTTGGGAGAGGGTTCACCGCATATGCTGAGGTTTTCAACAGCGAGTTTTAAGTTTTTCAACGACAGTGGGTGGCGGCCATAGTTTGTCGGCACGTCAAGCTCTTTTCGCCTCATTAATGATGACTCCTCGTTTCTCCATTTCTCCTCTGTTCGCTCGCCCATTCGACAGCGACTGAGCATGCGTTTTCCATTAGTGTGGAAAGTAACATCGCGTTTTATGCTTTTGCATGGCATAACAGCTAGGATCAGTCTTTTCCCATCTCTTGATTCAACATTCAGCACTTTATGCCAAATTTGTCTATTCCTATGGTTATGAGTATATAAAAGCGTTCATACTTCGCGTCAGCGTTTTGAGCGCACGCCAGGTTGAGTGTACTCCATTGTACCCCAGCGTACGCTGGCATACCCTTACAATGCATTATCCGTGCCCATACTTTTCCTTATGAGTTAAATACTCGAACCGCCGGCGTGTGCTCCAAACGCAAATTATGGCACTCCCACCGCGGTTCGTGTCGCACTGTGGCAATGAACCTATATTCACGTTACAATCGATCCTCGCCTTTTGTGCTGTTCGGTGATCTCGCTTTCAACTGCCTTTTTTCAGTCTCACAGTCAATCAATGGATCGAAGCGTACGGAAGCGAAAAGTTCGTGTCTTAAAGTTTCACTACTTTTTTATTAAGGACAATTCTCTGGAATTTGAACTGGGACTAAAGCTTTACTAAAGAAGCTCGAATTCAGGGAGTTCGTGAGATAAGGGGGATCCGTGCAGCATCACATTCGTTCTGATACTTTTCAGTGACGGAGTTCTATTCAGGCAGACGATGAGCAAGAGGAGCTGAAAAAGGCGCTAAGAAAGTTTGAAGATGAATTCGGTAACATGGGTGGCACCATAGATCGTGGGCCTAAAGCTTTTATTCGCTCAGAAGTGGTCAATGCTAACAAAACAGGTTGGTTGTATCTTCATGCGTGCACGAAATATCTCAATTCCGCATGTGCGTTTTTTAAAAATTCTTTTTATAGTGAGTAGCGCAAAACAACTTTACAAACCGGAGCCTATCGTGCCAATTCAACGTTCGCTCCCAGTTAGTGGGAGCTCCTTTGAGGAATCGAAACGATTAGCAGCCGAGAAGGTAATTATTTCATTCCCAACTACAATCTTCGCTTAAGTGATTACCTGAAATGTACTTTGCTTTGAAGGCTCGTCGCATGCTGGAAGAGGCGCACAAAGGAAAGGGTCCAATACCACAAGTCATTCCATCAAGTGCGAGCCGACCTGTTTCACGACCTCCTCGACCTGGTGCTGCAAGGGCTGTCCAGAAGAGCAAGACAAGCAATTTGGAAGCGTTCAAGGAAGAACTGAAAAAGTATGCTATGCTTGTATCGCTTCTCTTTGCTATCCTGTGGTGTGGGGAGCGAAGTTGCTGGAGCTGAAGAACATCAGTATAGACACTGCCTTGCAATCCAAGCGCACTCAGACTTGCCTTTCTAGCTCGATTTTGTCATGGTCCTTAATTCATTTGTGGCGTGATGTTAGAGCCCCCCCCTCGATGATAGGGTACGATACATAGCGGCGTTTGAATATGAGGAAAAAAATATCTTTGGTGTAGATTCTTATTCCCCTGGGACCAAATATCGATCAGTAAAGTGTGGAGATGACCTTTCGTGCGCAACTAACTTGCGTGTTAACGCAATTCCGATAATGAGAACTCCTTCATACTTCGTGTTTCAATCACACGAGCGATCTGACGGTGATCGGATCGATTGCGCGATCAGATCGCGAAGAACGAACGCCTGTGAGAGACCTAGATCGAGTGGTCCTGAAGTTAGTAAGTGTAGTTTTTCAAGCATTTTTGCGAACTCCTCGTTCCAAGAAGCGGAAACATGTCCTGGTGTTTGGCTGTGGAGGGCAGACTGGAATCGAGAGAAGGTCTTTATATGGCCAATCACTGTGGATGGTTTGTTTGGGGCACAGAGATTGCTCATGCGTGTGGGGTCACATGGATATGTATGTTACGGCGAGACGAAAGAAGTCGGACGGTAAAGTCCTAGGCGGTGGAACAACGCTGGACCGTTCTAGTTGTAGCCGGGAAAAGCTAGTTTTATTTGATTGGTGCGCCCCAACACTTTCGTTTGTTCGTTGTCAGTCAGAGAGATTGTGAGTTGAGCGAACTCTGTCCGATTTATACGTTCTGGCGAGTTCCGCGCACAAGAACACTGGCTAGTGATGAGACGCGCCTTCTCTCTACATCAACATCTGAGGGCAATAAAGAGGTGACGGTGAGTGTAGACTTCAGAATAAAGTGTGAAAACGGGAATTTTGGTGAGAAAGACATTCTGGATACATGCTAGAAAGTCTAGAAATAACCACCCAGATGAGTGTCCTTTAATAATGAAGGGCTTACCGTCTGCGAGCTGAAGAATGACAGAGCGCTATGTGTGTCGTCAAGCTGTTTTGTTATACGGACTTACTTTAGAACTGTTTTCAGAAGCAACTAGCCCTCTTGTGTGGCTGCGCACTTTTCAGCTTAAAGGCAGTTGCCGCGATAAGTCCTGAGACGAGTAGGGTCAACACGCCTGACAGGAGGAAATCCGCGCCCCTGAGTAGACGCTGCATGGCGCCTTTCCTAGAAGGTTACCCTTACAACGCCCTATCAAGCTGCAACATACCGACCCACACGCTCACCGCGCACGCCCGCCCGCAAATGGACGACCGTACGTGATGCTCGTATTGCTTCTTTTGCTAAGCAATGTATAAAGCGAAGGGATTGACATGTAGCGGTCGCGCTGTTGCAGGGAATGTATGAGTAAGACTGCAAGGCACCGTATCTACTGTAGCGGTTATTATGCGTAAGGGAAACTCGTCCTAAATTGCTTTATGAGGCATTGAGAACAAAGGCCTTTCTTCGCATGTTTTCGACTGTTTCACTTCCTTTTTTCGCCATTGTTCCCACTATGTAACACCCTGCTAGCTTTTAGACCTGCCAAATTATCGTGCCATATGCCTTTAAACGGGCGAGAAGTTAATAAATGTTCCTGCTAACAACGTTATAAGGTCCAGAACAACCTATGTGCTAGTTATAATTTGTTCTATTTGAGGGTCCAACAAGAGAGAGATCAACGTAAAGGACTGAGGGACCATTTGAGAGCAGAGCTTGGAGTTGACACGGAAGCATTGGACAAGTCAGTTTTTTGGCTTCATTTTTTACTCATTGTGATCCAAGTTTCAAGTCTTTCTCACAAAACAGGATTGCTCCTCCCCTTGATAAACCCTATATGGGAAGTGGGGAATACGACGATGATCCGTATACAACAAATTTGTATATCAGCAACCTTCCTATCGACGTAAGCTTTTCATGATGCGTGTTTAAAACTAAATGGTAAAACCAGTGAACGTAACAACACTCTTCTATAGATGACGATGGAGGATTTGTTTGATTCGTTCGGATCATTCGGGCCCTTGGCATCGGCCAAAATATTGTTCCCTCGTACAGAAGAAGAGAAAAGACGTGATCATCTCTGCGGTTTCTGCGCATTTATGTAAGGACCTTTATTATATAGCAGTATCACATATGCTTACGTAACTGCTTCTTTTTGTCGTGTAGGTGTAGGGAAGACGTGGACCGCGCCCTTGCACAAATGATGGGATTCTTTATTCGAGGAGAGCCCATAAGAATGTCTTTTGCTAAACCTATTGTAATACCTCCTCAGGTAACTGCAAATGCTCAGGTGGTCCATTATACTCAGCTTAACCTTTTCCTTTCTGTTCCAAAGCCAATCCTCGCTCGTCTCACAGCTTAATGAATTTTTGCCAGATGAGGTCATTGTAGTGGCCATTTTTGCAGCCATTCTACGTACCTCCACCTCTACTAGAATTGAGTGCGCCTGATCCCATCACTGAGCTGCCTTTCAACGCCAAACCTCTGCTTCGAGATGTGAGTAGCAGTATTCTGTGTTATACTTGATTTTTCAACCTGTGGAAGCACAGTGCGCGAGTCTTTTTTTTTGTTATTTTATAGATTTTGCGCTTTTGCAGATTACGGCTTGGAAGGAAAAGTACGGTCCTCTTCCTCATTATGGAGAGCCAATAAAATTCGAGGGCGAACAACTGGAGGCCTACAATCAGGTAATTTGCTTTTCCACGGAAATATATATTTTGCACCTTGCCTCTCCACTACAAAGTGTATCTAACGAGCTCTTTCTTTGTCATCTCTCCTTCCTCTGACCAGCTCTTTGTAATTATGTTTTTCGAGCTAATTTTTGAACGAAATTTGAATTTAATCTGCTACAGATGATCAAGAACGCGACAGTTCGTGTAGTGATTCCGTCAGACAGGTAAGCACCATCATCCGTGCGGCATATGGTAGGCGATCAGCAGATGTCATACTGGAGAATCGCTATCTATGAGCTCAAGTCTTTTGATCTTGTTTTCTCGACGATATTTTCGTATTACTCAAAATGCTTCATACTTTCATTGCAGCGTCATCAAACTGGATTTTCCATTATTTTTTTAATGGTTATCTTTTCAGATCATTTTAGCTTTTTTGATATCTCTTTCTGTCTATGCTATAAGTCTTAAGTCGAATAACTTTTGAAAAAAAAGCTTCCAGGCAAGCTTGGGAGGCGGATAAGCTGCAAAAGGGCATTTGGCGACACCCCATTCAGCTCTTCCACCAATGACGTTGGCAGCAACTACCACCCCAACCATCATGCTTAGTGCCTTTAAGTGTACACTGTGTCGTTTGGAGAGTGCATAAGGACGGAAATCGCCTTGTCTAGACTGGTATCGACTACGCTCGCTTCCGAAAGGGGAATCGGAAAGTATGGCGGCGCTCATACCTTGCAGCACTGAGGGAACGCAGAAGGCACGTTTTTTGAAAGAGACACGTCCTTTACCTCTGGGGCCAGAATTTTTGCGGAAATACTACCGTTTGTGATTCTTCACCGCATTAGCCACACACCACTGATACGACCCGCACCCCCCCCCGGCACTACTCCCACCTCCCCCCCCCCCCCCTCCCCACATTTAACCGTTCTCATCAGTGAAGTTCCTCGAAACCAAATTATAATACATAACCCGATTATTCCCCGATTTTTTTCTTTTTGAAATTCGCTCGCGCCAAGTTTCCCTCAAAATAGAAATGGCGAGCACTTTGAAAACAAAAAACAAAACAGAGAAGAAATCAACAGACGGGGCAAACACTGTTTTTCGCAAAAGCAAGAAGGGGCTGCATCCTTGCGTCCAGCACAAATATCGACGCTCACACCGCCTCTAGTTAGAGATCCCAATGTACATGGTGCGCTCGCCCAGGGCATTACCTGATGGGGATAAAACTCGTGTATCCGTTCACTAAAACGGTCAGGGCGCAGGCGGTTAGAGTGCCCAGGAATAGCAATGGAGGGGAAACTGAGCGACGCTATTCGGTGTTAGCGATATGGAAAGCTTTCGGGATCGAGAATTGGTGAATGCGGTAGTCTGGGTTTGCAGGAGCGACTCAAGCGACTCGGTTTTTCTCTCCTGATTTTTATCGCAGTCTGCCTTTAAGAAGTAGTCATAGTAGTTTCACTACTGATCAGCCGGTCTTTCTTCCTACTATGTGAGAGATCATTTTATTTTTTTGATTTTTTTTCGGCATTGTGCAGCGACTTCTGAGCTCCTGCTCAGAAGCCTTTTCGGTTGCACACTTAGACATCATCCAGAACATAATGATGGAATGACAGTGTGGAGGGTAAAGCGCATGCGCCTGGATGCCTCTCATGTTTTTCGCTTGGTTCCACGACATTTCCCGTGGGGGCGTGACCTGACCCCTGCAGCTGTTTCTCTCACTTTAGGAGCTTATGGATATTGGCCTTCAAGGTGCGCGGTTTGGTAATAATAGTCATTACCATAAGCTGCTTTGCACGTGATTGGACTTCTTCCTGTTTGAGCAAGGTGCTTTCCACGCTATCTCCGTGAGAGAGCAGTAGCTGGATGAGAAAGGGTCTCAATGAAGGAGGGGAGCCGTAGAGAAAGGCAGAGGCGAAGAGATGTTACACCAGACCTTTTCGAGTCTGCAGAACATAATGAAGGAATGTGTACAACAGTTTGTCAAATGATAAAGACGTGAAAGAACTAAACGTCGTATTTTACATTTCCGCTTGCAAAATAATGAAAGGTTAGATATAAAATAGTTTTTAATTAGGTAGCTGGAGAAGGTGAGAGAATGGCAGATCGAGAAGTGTCGGAGGGTAGGTGTTTCTCCTACGTGGGTAGAGGAACAAGTTGGTGGGACTGTTCATGGCAACAATGGTCGAGGGAGCGCGCGGGGGTCGCGCGAGAGGTGGGTTAGGGATGGGGGTGTTCTTGCGCAACTAGGTTATGAATATTGTCGTTGTTTCCATCGCTTGAGTTAGTTTGAACGTAGTTTAAACGGCGCAAACAGCGCCTACTCAAACAGCTACCTGCGAGGTAAACCCTTTACAAGTGCGAGATTAGTAAGTCCGAAAGAGTCCGAAGTTGTTGGATAGCTCGTACTCTTTTGCGGGGGAGAGCGACACGAATACTGTCGCAATGGGTAGCTGTAGGTCTTTGTTTGTAACCGGCCGTCGTCGCGTGGCTAAGTAAGGTCATACGACCATGCAATAGCGCCTGCATGGTCAAAATACCGGCCGGACCTGGAGGGCCTTTCGACATGCTTAATTTGGCCCCTCAATGGCCAAGTATCAATTCGTGTAGCTGCGACTGCGGTCTGCTCCGTTTTATTGTGGGACCCTGGTGGTCGCTGGGCAGCTAATACTAGTGAGACCATTATGCGGCCGCATTTATTCGTGCTTTTTGGGGTGGCGAGCAAGTGATACACTTTCTGGGGGGGTCCTGCGACTAGAAGCCTGTGCTACCAAGTGCGGCGGAGGTCATTCTTGTGGGCATTTGGATTGCGGGCAGGTGTCCTTTGCAAGACGGAGGTGGAGGGAGGAGAAGGGGGAAGGGGCATTGCGGGTGCAGTTCAATAGTTCCTTCGTGTAGATGCCTCGCTCAATCTAACGTCACGTCTCCTCCTTTGGTGAGACCCGTCGAGTCTTGTGGAGCTTTGGAAGATTACAAATGAGCGAATTTATGATTTGATTTATTATCGGCATTCTATTGACAGTGGCACACATAAAAAAGGAAACGCAGAAAAAAATCTCCGATAATCAACCTAGAACTCAGTGGGAAAACAGCATAAAGTTGTTGCGGTGTAGAGGGGGTAATCAGTGCAGAAGGGCAGTGGCCGCCACACTGGCAAGTCCAGTCCACGTGAAAATAGAAATGCCGGATACCAACTTAGTAGGTCTCACTTGTAAGACCCGCATTATAGACTTGCTAATTCGGTGTGGGCAACATTAGGCAAGTCTTTATACTGTGGCTGTAACAAGAGCTTCGCCGTGCTACCAATTTACACTCGCTTGGCGTCGTCGCCCCCGCCTCCAATGTAGGCTAACATCCCTGTAAAAGAGAAAAGCTACTACAACTGTAGCTTCATCTCCAAGCGCTTTTGATAAGCGAAAGCGGCTCGTTTTTGCAAGTATGGACCTGCACACTTCACACATGGAAAGGGTCCACCTCGCAGGTAATTGTACACTCATCATCCCAAAAATGGAGAGTCAGTGGCTGCCTACTTCACTTGAACGTGACGGCAACTGTGCTTGTGGAAAGATATGCAGTTTCCGAGCGGTTGCAACCATGACTTTGTCTAGTAGAGGATAGAACAACACTTGTATCAAATGGGAATATCCACTAACAATGTATCCTACGCCATGTTAAAGTATGCAGCCACCCCCACTCCATCGATGAGAGAAGCAGTGTACAGTATGATTTCCAACTCACTCTTTCTAACTTTCTCATTAGGGTTCTACTGTTGGGATGGGTGTTATCAGCATAGTTCAGTCACGTTATTCTAATAGTTTAATGAACCAAACTATGTGAAAACATTTTGTGGTGGTCCTTTAGCCATCTACTGCTTGTCATTCAACATGTGGTGGAATTTACCTTACGCGAAGGACCGCTATTCGAGGCGATGTTGATGACACGTGAGCGAAATAATCCATTATTCAGGTTAGTGTTACTTGGAGTCATTTATTTCCTCGTCTGTGACTTGAGTCAAATGATGATGAATTAGAACCACAATAACACACTTTTGTTGAAGATTTGACATTGCCTGGGCTTATGCCGTTTGGACGCGCACACTTTCGGCTGCGAGCTCATTTATGAAGTGCCTAGGTCACCAAATGTGCTGAAAATTTGTATACAGGGTTAATTTAACCTGATTAACAATAACGATTCTTCAGTAGGGCGCAAGTGGCTCACAAAAGAATTTAGGCGTGAGGTTAAGTGCATTGCGATAGTCGGCTACGGATTCACACCATATTCGACGCGCTTTACCTAAAAAGTGGTCGTGGCCGATTTTTCATGTTGTTGGTGGTTTCTCTGAACATTTGCGTATCATTTCACGGGCACTATTCAACTATTACTACTCCAATTTTCCGAAAACAGGCCGGATCTTCGACTTTTCTACGAGGACAGATTTCGCTGAAAGTTGGGTCATAAGGGTAATTCGACCTCCTGAACACGAATTTGTCTGAAAGTGCCTGGCGCCCGCGACACAGGCGCCGGCGCGAAAATACCCTAGGTCACTAAATCTGCTGAAAACTTGTATACGGAGGTTATTCGACATCTTGATTACAAATATCACACCCATTTTAGGCGCTGGCGCTGATGGACGACGCTGCGATTATCTGCGCTCTGCTGGAGGCTGGCCTGACCTAAAGGAAATCACTCTTTCTCCCAGGCTCAGCCTTAGAAAAGCGCTAAATGGCGCTGGCGTCGAAAAATAAATGTCGTATTCGTGATCAGGGCATCAAGCCCCATTATGCAGGTTTATCAATTTTGATAAAAAAGGGTGTGGCGCCAAATCAGTGCCTAATGGCGCCAGATGACCTCAGGGCTGAAAACTAATTCGGTATTCGTGATCAAGACATCAAGTTATCCTACTATGCAAATTTACACCGAATTTGTGAGAAAGTGCGGTTTTTCCAAATTAACGCATTTGAACTTATGGTTATAGGGATGTTAGTGCTCTGATTATGAGTGAAGTAGGATTAGGCTATAGCACAGGAAAAAAATCATGGAAACCTTAGTTTCTGAGCAGAACGAAAACTGCCCTCCTTCCTCTCAAGTTGATGGGAATTTCAATTTGTTGACGGAAAAAGATCCGCTTTTTCTCAATAATAGTTTGAGTTCAACTTCCTACAGTGCATTATATCCTGAATAGTTCACGCTTTTGTAACACCCGCGCAAGGTATATGCCAGGCAAAATCGCCTACGACCGCTTTTTTCAGGTAAAGCGCGTCGGATATGGTCAGAGTCCGTAGGCGACTATGGCAATGCACTCATCCTCACGCCTAAATTCTTTTGTGAGCCACTTGCGCCCTACTAAACAATCGTTATTGTTCCTGGTTACGAATATGACATTTCTTGGCGCTAGCGCTAAAGGAGGACATTTCGATCGTCTGCGCGCTGCTAAGGCTGAGCCCGGAAGATAGTCGTAGTGTCCTCCATTAGCGCCACCGCTAAGTACTAACGTCATATTCATAAACAGAATGGTATAGTAACCCTGTACCCAAGTTTTCAGCATTTGGTGATCTAGGCACTTCATAAATGATCTCGCAGCCAAAAGTGAGCGCGTCCAAACGGCATTGGCCCATTGCCTGATGAACCGTGCACCGTCGCTACGGCACAATTCAAGTTTGCACAGCTGCTGAGGCAAAATACAGTCGTGTTCGCCGCGGATGAAAGGGCGTGGTTAGGCGAGATGTAATTGACGCAGCGCCAATCCGATCTCCACTAGTGGTTGGAGCGGGCAAGCGACAACAAATGGTGGAAAACGACTTATAGAACTACATGATACAGTCTTGCTGTTTACTCGTTTCAACAGCTGGTGGAAAACGGGTCGCACCGCGCCACATCCATCCCGCCTGACCACGTTCCTTCATGCCTAGAAAACACGACTGTAATATCAATTCGGAACCATTAATTATATAATGCCGTCACAGTTCTATATTTTTGTAGGGTATCACGGTTGTGTATTTCGGTGCTAAACACCGAAGTATTCGAATAAAAAAATCATTTACTCTGTTAGGGTCCTTTTAAGTCTTTTGCAATGAATTTCGCTGCCTCTTGTTTTTTGTAACATTTAACTCCAGAAAAATGACTGTTCGATGAACAAGACGCAAGTAACCACAGACCGCTCCTTTTTATGTTGCTTATTGTTCAGATTTTTGTTCGAACTGAATCATCCTACGCATGTGTTCTACCGCTGGAGACTGTACTCGATCTCCCAAGGCGACACGTTTCTGCAGTGGCGTCGGGAAAAATTCAGGTATGGTTTAACATTTCTCCATGAGAAACAATTTTTAATAGCTAACATGGCATCGCTTTCAGAATGTTCGAAGGCGGATCCTGGTGGCAGCCGCCCATTCCTCAGCAGGAGTTGTTCAGCTGCATGCCTCGCTCTCTCTACAGCTTCGCATGCACAATCACTGATCCGAATCGCTGGCTTCCCAAATTGGATGCTCCTATTCCTGTTAGTTCCCCATCTCTGCTTTATTTATTTGCTGTTTTCTTTCCACGAGTTCAGTGCACGATTACACCAACAGCTTTCATAGAAGAAAATCTAATTAAATATAGTAGAACTGAGGACTTGGGTAGCGGCGCCACAAGGAAAAGTGTGAAAAACACTGTAAGGACATAAAAGCTGCCTGTGCGCGCTTCGTCTTCAGGGTAATCGTGCCGGGACCGCGCGCCGGATGCTCAAATGCGATTTCGCCGTTTACCTTACGTCAGCGTACGCTAGCGTTTCCAGCGTTTGGCAGCGGCAGTGGCAAGGAAAGTGATAGGTATCGATCTAGCGTTTAGCGTTTCACTAGCGTTTGCAGCGGCGGGGAGTAGAGATTATGGGAGAGTAGGAGAGTAGAAAACAGTGCGATTAGGCGTGCTGAAGTTGCGGTAGCCGCACCGCAGTATTAATACCGTACACTAACTTGGTTAAATTGCATAATTGTGTGGTTCAGCTGTTGGAACGGAATGTTTTTCGTACATTGTCGCACCGGAATAGAATTGAACTATGAAATGCTGGCTTTTGCAGGTACTATCCGTTTTTAGGGCTGATCTGTTGGAGATTGTTCTATTTTTTGGGAACTTTTAGTAATTCGTATGAACGGTTTCTGGTCGAATATACGGCTGACAAATACATGCTCATTCTTATGAAAGATCCTAAATGGTCCCACGCTTATCGTAATGATGATGGTAATGATCGGTTCATGCTTTGCATTTATGCGTTATGCAATTCAACCATTGCATTATGCAATTTAACCAATTTAGTGTACGGTATTAGTAGTGCGGTGCGGCTACACACGCCGCAATTTCACAGCACGCCTAATCGAACTGTTTCTACTCTCCTACTCTCCCATAGTCTCTACTCCCCGCCGCTGCAAACGCTAGTGAAACGCTAGAAACGCTAGATCGATACCTATACTTTCCTTGCCCTCGCTACGCTAGCGCACACTGGT